CACCGTTTTGCCATGCGTGAGTGCTTTACAAAAATAGATAACAACAGAACGTATCAAATGTAAGCCTATTCAAAAAATGGACTGTATCAGGTGATTTTTTTGTATTGTGGGATTGTTGTGGCATAATAAACGCACTATTTTTGAATATCTTGAGGATTGCTCCTGGGACCACTAAAATTGCATAACTACAATTCTTTTTTAACACGCACATCATCGAACCGGTATAGGGCAGGTTCCAGGCCTTTTGGTTAATTGATCATGTTGACATGCTCTTCCAGGTTCCATCTGCGTCGATGAAATTTCCACCGGTCAGCCAGCTGCCAACGAGAATCTGGAGTCCGAGCCAGCCCCAGACTATCCAGACGAAAAGGACAAGCCTGCTGAGACAGACAAAGAGATACCGTGTGTCCTACATGTTGCAACACTGTCACGCAACGACCGACTGAAGGTTCAGCGAATTGTCGCCCTTAAGAGGCCCACCACAGGAAATCTCGCAGCGCCAAGGGATATCTATGAGGTTAAGGCCAGTGATTATGTTCACGCTGGTTCAAAAACATGTCATAGATCATACTTGCCATGCTACACATCAAGACTAGACTGGTTTACAGCCACGGCACATTCCTGAAGGTAATCTTCATGCAGCGCGTTGGGATCTTGTCCGCTACCACCAAATCGAAGAAGATTGAGGTGAAAGGCGGATTCTTTAACGGGGAGGATATGACGAATGAATTGGGTTACCGCCCGTTTTCTGGCTGAGCTACTTTGTGTGCGTATGGCAGCTACATCTTTACCATGATTTGTTGCAAGGTCGCCCCTTTAACGTGCCCTTCACCGAGCTAAGGGACCGCATCGACAAGATCAAGAAGTGGGCCACTGCCAAGAAACTGGTGAGGCTAGGTAGTGCGTGAGACATAACTGCAATATGTTCCATGCGTGCAACTGATAGTATTACTTGATCGCATGAATTACCCGTCACATCCTGATGGCAGGGTCTGTGAGTACAATGATGGCGAGATCAAGTATTGGGTCAACACTCGTACCATGGGCACCTTGAGTCGTGAAGATATGCAAAGCTATCAGTGTCTCATTCCCACGAAGGAGAAGGTGGTGATTCAGTAGTTCCGGACATGAACATGGGACATGGTGGCTTTGACAATTTGGGCGATGCTGAAGGGAATTTGGAAGTTGAAGGGGTTTCCTCTTTGCAGGCTACTAAGCTCAACTATACCAATTTAGTGCCCACAAGAGCAGAAGATGCGTTTTGATTTAACGATGATGGCATGTGCCACTATGCTAATCAAAATGGGGCTAAGTCGAAGGTTGCCCTCTACTTCAAAAACGCCCTGAAGAGCGGACAACATCAGAGACCTTGCTGCGTCAGACCCTGCTTCCAAAGCATTCCTTGGTTTCTCACAGCCCACCTCCATGGTAGCATCGGCCACCCATCCAGCCAGCGGATCTCCAAGTCCTTGGATGGTGCGTGGCTCTCAGGACCCTGACCAAGTTGGAGCAGATCGTCACTAGTTTGAACGACCAGTACGACCAGCTTGCAGAATTGCAGGCCGAGGGAGAAAACTACAGGCTACTCTGAAGAGTCTCTTGGCCATGTAACTCTTCCAATAAAGTTTGTGACATGTGTTTGCAAATGTCCGGAAATACGTTTGATAGCGCCTTGCTGTATTTAAATCATTGGTGATGCCGAGGTTGAGAACGGCAAGCTGAACACTCTGTTCAACTACTTGACGAAAGCTAATCTTGGTAACCACTGCATCTAACCAAGGTAATCACGAAAGGTAGCCCTTTACGGGATACCTTGTCTTGCGAAGCAAGTGCTGGGACGTCCGGGTCTAATAATTGATCGCTCAATTCAGACCCCCCCCCCTCGAATTGATTTTTCAATACAGACCCCCCCCCCGCCCTGTTGGAATTGATTTTTCAATACAGACCCCCCCCTCCCCCCCTCTAAAATCAATTCTCTCCTGGAGAATTCGTGAGCCTCTCATTATTTCAGGATAGTTGAAACCCTCTTGAACATTCAGAAAGAGTTCATATGAAATTCTAATCACGAAAGGTGTTCCCCGAGGGGATACATACCTAGAGTTTGTTTTGTGAAGCACGTCAATTCTCTCCTGGGGAGCGTCTTCGTGAGCCTCTGATGGTTTCAGGATAGTTCAAATCCTATGATGTTCCGATTCAATGCTCACCGATGATCTGAGCCATGGGGCAAGTTTGTTTTCCTAAGAATCTTTTTGAAAATTTCGAGAGCACATGTTTGAACATTTAGAGTGCATATGAACATATATTTACGAAAGGTCGCCTCCGAGAGGATAAATCACCATGTCGAACATTGCATTTTTGTTCCTGCCTCTCGCGTTCTCTTGTCTTCCCGCTGTCCTACCTTTCGTGTCTCCCTCCTCTCAAGTTAGCTTATATATATAACAGAGTCTGTCGGAACTCTTATTCCCTAACGTGGTGCATGTTGATCTAGCAACTTACCTTCACCGAGGTGTCTCCATGCATGTCCTGAGTTGCAACTCACCCTTCGCCCAAGCGTGTCAAAGAGAACAACTGCCCAAGCTTCTGCAGGGTCAGGGGCCAAGAACAATCGAATGCCACTGCAGTGCCTCAGAACACGCAGGTTGCAAGCATTCCCACGCACCAATCCAAGTCAGCAATGCCAGCCACTTCGTTGCAAAGGCTAAGAAAGCAAAGCGGGTGAAGAACGAGTGAGCTTGGTGTAAGCAGCGCGCAGCGCCCGGGATTCATTACCTTTTTGCCAGTTGCGCCAAGAGTGCCAACTTTGGACAAATGATATCGATGTGAATTTAACATGTGTCAATATGGGGTTGCAGTCCGGGCGACGGCGTGTGGAAGTACACGCAGCTCTAAGCCTGTGATTGCGCTACGGCTTGGGGACAAAAGGGGTGAGCCGTTTCTTTGGCACGCAACCGCAGTGAACCCCACTCAATGCTTACCCGAGCAATGCACGCGCAAAAACTCTTTCTCATATCACGCAATCAGAAAACCACCCCAGTGCCCCACCGGAGGTGTGAGGACTCAGCTCGGTGACACAGTTCATCACACCGCAAAGCTATATGCAAAAGGGTTTCTGGGATTGGTGAATATATAGGATCAATCCAATTTCTGCAACTTTTTCTTTACCATACAGCCTCCTTCCTTGCGGTGCTATCTTAGGCTACTGCTCTGGATTGCGTGGAAGAAGCCCAAGCTGCTGCAAAGTGCGACAAGTGTCCAACACTTCAGCAGATAGCCAAGGCTCAGGTGGACAATGCGGATGAACCACTCTTCCACGCCTCAGTTGGGTGCAAGGTGTTGGTTGTGTGAAGCGGGGACAAACAATGGTCCCTGCATTGAAGATGTTCGCGCAACTTCAGCTGCTTGGACCAAAACATGTGGTCTTGCAAACCCTCTTCCATGCGCTGAGACTGAGCCTGGACCACTACTGAAACGATTGCCAGCCAACGAGCTTGACCTGGCTGCTTTCTCGCGAACAGATTTGTTCCATGTTTTTCACGCTGGAATTGGACTGCCTCCAGCGTCGTCTACATCGCTTTCAACCAAGGAAGGTTCTCGAAGTTATATAGTTGAGCGTCTTTGTTTTCAGCTTGTGCGCAATTTCCCTGATGATCGCCTGCTTTCTTTGACCTATGAGGGTTGCGGCGCCGCTCACCATTTCTTTCATGTGGGTCACGCATTCCTCTTGTGACCTTAAGTGCGTAATCAATCCGGTGGCAGAATCTACTTTTATGAGCGAAGATCTGGTTGGGCGGCCTTAGCCGTAGAGTTTCTGCGAGAAAAACAGGTACAGTGTTGCGGTCCATCACCATTTGCGCAACCCTGACGGTTTGAGCTTCTGAGGAAAAGTTCAGCTGATGCGCTCTCTGGGTTTTTGTTTTGGCAGATCCATGTGAAGCTACTTATTTTTGAAGAGTGCTGAACAACCATTTTTTTTTGAAACGTCCATGTTCTGGCCTGCTTTAAAGCAAGTGTTTCACTTGCTAGGTATGTATACGCTGCATACGTTCATTTATCATCGTTCTCTGAAAGGTACGGTACCTAGTACTGGAGTCAGAATACCCGTCAATGACCCAGAGTGCACGACCATGCTCCAATTCCAGTTCATACTTTCTGCAGGGCCGAATTTGGATGTCTGCAAGCTACAAGTCGGGGCAAATAAATACCAGGTTTGTACAGCGGAAGCACTCAGCTCAGTGCATTGCGCATTTGCCAGAAGTTGGTCTTCAGTTAGTTGGCGTCGTCCATATTGAAGTATAGTTCATTCTGCTGGGAAGCTGTTCTTAGCCAAGATGCCAGGACTACAAGTCTGATCAAGCGTGCGTGCTGTGGCATATGACAGCAGGGTCAAGATGTAGCAGCCGTGATTATAAACAGGGGTGGAGGCCATTGCTAGTAGGTTGGAGGCACTTCCCAGGAGGTTGGAGGGCCATCGCTCTTAGGTTGGAGGCCATTGTTTCAAGGTTCTTCTTCGTTTTGGTTTTGTAGTAGGTTGGCCGGTCAAATCATGTCTCAACCACATAATCGCCACCTGGATCCGGCCGAGGGTGCCGCGTAAGAGCCCGGTGACTAATGATAGATCATGCAACCTCACGCTCTTGTGACTTGCGTGTTTGTTCGCTTGGCCATTCAGCTCATCAGAGTCACACATAGATATAGGGCTAGTACTTGGGATCTGGAAAAATTCTTTGATCGGAAGGATCACATCCCACCCATATGAGAAGGGCATTCCTCGGTAAATGCACAGATCTTCATCAAGGCACCATCGGCATAGGTTCCTCAACTTTTGTTCTGGCGCTGCATGTGACCCAAGTCGATGACAAACCCGCGAAGTCAAAGAGTTCATGTGACCCTGTCAATAACAAATTACAATGGGAAAACTGATGTTGAACAAATTGTAAATTGTAAATCTAAAATCTAAAATTCATTGACCCAACATACTTCGTCATCTTTGCCCGAACGGTATGGTGTTGCATGTGTCACCGGCAGCTGCACCGGTGCCCGTGAAAAAATGGACACTGCCCTCGAAAGTCCAGGTGTCACTCGGCGTGATCCAACCATTTTGGAAAGATACCAGCTACCAAGCAATGGTCCTAGTCCTTGAAGGAATGTCATGTTCTTTGCATGTTTATGAGTTGACGGAACTGGCTGAAAGAGGCAATGACTTGAAGCAGAGCACGCCCGAGGTCTTTATTGAGACCAGGTGATGGAGAACATTTCCTTCAGAGGCCACATGGCATCCTCATATAGCACCAACAGCGCTGAGCTCGCTTACAGGTCGTGTTTGCATTTGGAAAGCATGTGTTTTTTGTTTTTCTGTAGGGCGCTTTGAAAGTGTTTCCACATCCGGATCCTTAAGTACAGTGGCCAGGGGATGCCAAAACTGAACGAAAGGCCACGGCACGAGAAAACTGTGACAGTGTTATTCTGTAATTCTCGTGTATTGTCCTCATGCTAGGTCCTGCTGGGCCCTAGGTTTCTCAGCAAGGACGGGTGCCATGCCACTCCATGCCACACCCAGCCCATTGCAACAATGAAACTTTGCTGCAAAACTCTCCACTGGGAAGCAAACAACCAATCGAGTTGTTTCCAAGGAAAACCCAACCCTGAGAAGAGTTTTCACCATACAGTTACGAGAAGTCCTTTCCAGAATGACTTAGATGGCTATACACCGCCAAAAATCAGAAGAAAACAAAGCCAACGACGCTCGACATCCACAGACTGATGCTCCACATCCAGGTCAGCAAAAGCTCACCTGGTGGGCCGCTTGCCATGCGGTTCCATCTTTGAGAATACCCAGGGCAAGGGTGGAACCCCCATGGAGCTGAAGAAAGGGCAGATCATTCCAGGCATGGAACTCGCCATCCAGGAGAAAACAAGACGCAGAGACTCCGCATTGTCCGAGAGAGATGGTTTTCTTAGAGAGACGCAAGTTGTATGAGATTGTGTGAGGGATTGTGTCCGGGATGACACACACACACACAAATGCACACTCTCCAGGAGCTGTCCTTAGGTTCGATTGCAGAGATCAGGATTCCGTCAGATTTGGCCTATGGGAAGAACGGCATACCTCGCACCTCGGACACGTTGCGTCACTTCTGGAACGATCGTCGGACGAGATTTGTCCATTGAGACCCCCAAGGGACAGGGATGTGACATCAGATCCTCAGGTATAGTGCCACCTGAGAGTGAGCTGATCTTTGAGATTCATATCTTGGAGGTCGATGGTCTGCCATGCGACGAGGACAAATTAGGCAAGCTAGCCAGACCAGTGGATCCGCTTGGTCTTGGCCCTGGCGATTTCTGTCATCCCTGGTGGCTGGCTAGGGTCCAGCCACTTGGCAGTCTTCAGAGGACCATGCATGACACTATCTTCGGCAATTGTTACTTGAGGAAAAGCACTTGAGCCATGGATTTGGCGTCGTTCTCACCCGAGGCTCCCAAGCCCCCCCGCCTACTACTTGAACTTCTGCGCTCAGACAGCCAAGGGTCGGAAGCCAGCCGCTCGACCTGAGAGCCTCGAGGCATAGCGATGGCCTTTGCTCCAAAGGTCTTGTTACTAGTAGCGTCCTTGTTACTACTAGTAAGGCACTTGTTACTAGAAGCGATGCACTTGTTCCTAGTAGCTTCTTGTTCCTAATAGTAAGGCCAGGAGCCCCTAGTAGCGTCCTTGCTCCTAGTAGCGATGCCAGGAGCCCCTAGTAGCTTCTTGTTACAGGTGAAACATGGTGAAACAGTGAAACGATTCCCAAGGAAGCCTCTAGCTACTAGTAGCTTCTTGTGACTAGTAGGAATGCCAGGAGCTACTAGTAGCGTCCTTGCTCCTAGTAGCGATGGCCGAATATCCGTCGGTTCCTGAACCTTTCAGCCATAAGGCTTCCTATAAACCTGGTAAGCCTTCAGCAAGAGGTACCACAGGCCAAGACCTGCGAGCAGGTTCATGAGGAGATGGCAGATTTCCATAAGATTCCACTTTGAGGGGGGTGAAATCAAGATAAATCAAGAAGGCTAAGACGATCTAAGCTGAGGTGAGATTCATGTGTTCCGTTTGGTCGATCTGGTCCGACCAGAGGTGTTGCTGGAGAACGCCCGGTCTGTGGCAAGAAGAAAGAGCAGTGAGCTGACCAACTTCGATGTGGGAACTGCTGATGAACCCTTCATCATCACTGATCCTGGATGCAAATCTGAAATGTTTACAATGTGCACATCACTGCGATGTGGGCAAATGGATTAATTCTTTCTGAAGTCAGAGATGTATCATGATGTGCTCAATGGACCATCGAATCAAAACCCAATTCCTTAGCTGAGGACGTGCAAAGAGGATGGCAAGCAAATGGGCTTTGGGACCTCAAGTGGTTCGAAGATCACTTGGGCGACAAACGGCAACTCTTGAAATGGCTCGGCCCTGTCTTTACACGCCACTGGGCCTAAGTCTTGAGTCGCAGCATGTTCAGAACGGCTGGATGCGACTCACCACATCCCCACAGGTCAGGAGTGCCTTTGGGAGGCTCCAGTCTATGAGACCTCCGTCAGAGAGTACATCAAATATATGCGGGACTTGGAGCAGAAGGCGGGATGAGACAGGAAGTCGCGTGGAAGTCGCATGTCAGCATGTTTGGTCATTGAACCTGGCGTCCAAGCATGACCGCCGCAAGGATCCCAATTGTGACGAAGAAAATGCAGCTCAATGCCCACGGTATCTTGGATTTCTTGCTGACGTGTATGACAGTGTATGATGTCCATGAGTAAAACTTAGATAATTAGTATCCGCCATGTTCAGAATGCTTCCGAACCTCTCAGCTTGATGAGGCTTTACCTCAATGGATGGCCTGCCTTTGCGCAGTTGCCTTGGTTGCGAAGCTTTGTTCTCCCGGATGGCGGAAGAGAAGCGGCTTCATCCATGCAAGGCTGCATCGAGGTGGGAGTGCGGAACGAAAGTTGCACGGTGGGAGTGCGGGACATGGACCGTGCGCAGGTGCCGCAGGGGCTTTAAGCAGCTTAGACCCGAAGAGCTACATTTGGGTTGCATGGTGATTAGCGAGAAGCTATTCTAACATGTCTGGCCTTTGATGACAATCATCCTGACCAACTGCAAGCACCAGAACATAGCATCGGCAACATGCCTAGTTAGGACTACTTGTAGTCATGTACGGTTAAAATATAGTATAGTTATGTATCGGTCTTATCCATAAGCTGGACTGAACCCCAACAAGAGGTACGGCCACCAGCACCCACCAAGTAAAAGCCTTGGAGTCAGAGTGGATTGTGCGCTGCGTGCCTGCGTGCGTCCCACCGGTTTCGACAGGATCTCAACTTTCTCTTGATCCGGGAGTCGGAAGCCTTGCGCGAGGCTCCAAACCAGAAAGAATTGTCCCAAAGCTTCATGTGATTCAGACCTGGTGGTAGAAACTGTGGACACCTTGGCTTCATACTTTTATGATCTTTTATGCTGAGCTGGCTAAGCGCTTTGGATCATTGAGCTTGCGCCAGTCTCTTCTGGAAGGGTTGACGGCCAGAGGCAGCTATCAACCGTCGGAGCCAAAGATCATGATAGAGCACAAATAAGACTCCGCAGAGTGCTTCGGGTTTCCATTTGCCGTTGGCAACGCCCTTGCAGTGCACCCATCTAATATGGCATGTCAAGAGGCCCGACAAAGCAGAGCAGACGCAAAAGCTGGAAGACGAGGCGACGTTCCTTTTTTAAAGCGTAGTGTAGTGTGCCTCACGGGAAAGAAACCAAGCAAAAACAAAGTTTGTTTCCGAAGACGCGTAGTTTGACGAAAACAAGGCATTTGGTGGCCAAACAATGTGTGACTCGGGTGCGTTGCTTTGCTTGGCTAGTCCTTTTTCAAGGGCTAAACCCGACAAGGGTGCTTTTGAGGCTTGTGACTCAACATCAGAATCATATAATACTAGGCAATGGTAATTCTGGGCCATATACTCATCACGGATGTGTGCTGAGACGGATGCCAGGATTGGGATTTGACGAAGATCTTTATGTCTCCCAAGGGTGCCATCACTCGCCTTCACTATGACAATGGTGGTGCTCATGCTGCATCACTCAGACTGACAGCGGGCCTTGTGGGGCACAGAGACAAGTGTAGGTTGGAAGCCTTTGCTATTAGGTTGGAGGCCATTGCTACTAGAGCAAAAACATGCAAAAACGCTATTCAACTACTTGTAATTATTTCTCAACTGTCGGATTTTAGTGGTCACCAGTCATGACTCTAATTGTCCTCAGTGCAGCGAGCCTGGACAAGCCAACCACATGATAGCCGTTTAAGGAATTGTCCTATATAAATCTATATAAATTATTACGAATTCTATTGACTTTCATGCTAGAGGTATGATCAAACATGATTCAAGCGGCAGCATACGCTGAGGCCTGGCTTTCCCAGATCCAAGGCGCGAGATGGTATTTGGGCACCTTTGATGGCCCTTTAAAAGGGGCCTGAACGTGTTCGAACGCGTTTTGTCGATCTTTGAAGGTGTTCCCTTATTGTGTCCACTCTGTGTTCCCTTCTTGGATGTCTTGATGCAAGTGCACCGGCGCACCGCGTTACCCCGTTTTGCAAGACCTACGGCGATTTGACATGTTTTTCCCCGCCAGGGCGAAAGATGTTTGTGTGCTTCGCACCATCAGTTTGGAAGCCCAGATCCGGAACCGTGGAAAACTCAAAGCGAACAGCCGATGATGTTTAAGTCCAGAAGTAGCTTCCACCGTCATTCTCAAACTCCTTCCCTAAAACTCTTCAGGGTGGCATGGGGAGAGAGGAAAAAAAAGCAAGACAGAACAGGTGTAATTAGGCTGGAGACTTGCATGACACGCATATATAAATATAAATATATATATATTCAAGTGAGGTTAGCGAAGGTGTTTCCCTAAATTCAGGTCATGAATGTTCTGTTTGGGATCGTTGATAATAAGGGTCCAAGCCTCTGATTTTCTCGGTTCCAGATCAAGCCTAGTGGCGTCCGATCGCTCCTAGTAGCGATGCCCTTTGCTCCTAGTAGCGTCTTTGTTCCTAGTAGTAAGGCCAGGAGCCCCTAGTAGCGTCCCTTGCTCCTAGTAGCTGTAGCATTTCACGAGTTGGTGACGCAAATGGATGCAAAGGGCAGACTTCAACCCACAGCGATGCACGCAGCCACGCTATGCTACCCTCCGAAATCCTAAATTGTTCTTTTGTGAGGCTTTCTTCAATTGCTAAAATCGTCATGAATCATTTGTCTTTCACTTCCTGGTTGCTTTGTCCTTTGGTCAAACCACATGTTTCAGAGCAGGACAAGCCCTGCCGGGGTTTGGCATCAAGACCTCCCACCATGTTTGTCTCAGCCATGGGGCGAGCGGCACATCAGCTTCGAAGGCTTCGGAAGCCAGAGGCGGGCAGCGCCTGGCTCCTTGGTTCATCGCTTTCTAAGATGATCATTTCACAGGAGCTTCAATGTTTACACTTTTGTACTCGCTCACTATTCCAACCGCCCTTAAAACTGGAGCTTGCTTCTCCTTGGGGGATATGTTACATGTTCGTCGTTTTGACCAAGTTGGAGTGCAGGTTCTTGCGGCGCTAGCGGGTGCATGCATCGCAAAGGAGACGCGAAGGCCTCCGGTTGTTGTGCTTTCTGCAGTCGCTAGGCATGTGAAATTGCAACAGCTGGGAAATTAGGCAGGTATGAGAGAGGGAAAAGTTTGGCCCACTTTTGAAGGCTTCACTGTGATGTACTTTTTGACGATGTGGCTTGGAAGCAGGGAGTGAGTTCTAACTACCCATTTTGCATCACCCTGTAAACGGAACATTGAGAAGTTAGAAGTGTCAAGGGCCCGTTGCTTGCAACAAAGGCACTTCATTTGTTCCTGAGATTTCTTGATCTAAGACCGTTCCGCAGAGGATGAAACTGATGAAATGAGTAACACTTTGTTAACACATGTTAACACCAAGTTGTTCGTTGCCGCTATCGACGGCTACTGTTGGGAAACAAGCAGCGTATGGAGGCAGGAAAAGGAAAGGACCGAAGCATTGGCATAGTGTATATCATTATTCTAAACAGTAAGGCTTAGTATGGTCAAGAGAAAAATGTACATTGTCAGTTTCATGCGTTCAGGAAGCGGCTTAGTACGACTCGCGATCTCAGGACGAGAAGCAGCGCATGGAGCAACAAGCAGCTTTGGTCCGCAGCATTCAAGTGGGCGATGTGAGTACTGTGATGGGCAGCTTGCACGATGTGGATGCGCAACTGACCTCTCTAGGCGCAATGTTCAAACATATTTCGGAGTATCCGCTCACCTTCAATCCATCCCTTTCAATTCTCGAATTATCTAAACTTATTGCATTTGAGTGCGGCGAGAAAATGTGATTCTGCGCCGGTTAAACATAGACTGAAGAGATAGACTCTCTAGACTCGGTAACCAGCTCCGCCTTCCACACCAGGCCAAACAGCGTTGCACATCGCCAGTGCCTCTGGTGCGTTGCCTTTGGTGGTCGCTCTACTTAAAGCGGGAGCTGATTGCAACCGTTGCGACCGTACGGGTGCCTCGGCCGTGGCGCTGGCGGCGGCTGCAGGTCATGCACACGTGCTGGAGAAGCGGCTCGGACGAAGCGGCTGGAGCACCGCACTTTTTGACTTGGGAGCGATCGGACGCTACGTTCGGGGCTCCTGGCCTTACTACTAGTAACAAGAAGTTATTAGAAACAAGAATTAGAATTAGAATTAGCAAATTGCAAGATTTACAATAAGTGCATGGCCTCCAACCTGATAGCAAAAGGAAGCCAATGCGATGGCCTCCAACCTATTAGCAATGGCTGACTTGACCCCACACTTGACCCCATGCACCTTGAATTGCTGAGAGTTCCTATGAATTTGTGGCTGCAGTTTCTTGACATGATGTGCTAACTCGTAGGGGGGCCGGGGTATCTGTGGCATCTTGCCATGAGTCAGTTTATTTTGCCCGGGCTATGAGCCTCAGTCTGTGCAACGGGGGTGACACTTGTATGAAGTCATGGTCGCGGAAACTTCGAATCACCAACTTCGTTCACACATGAGTATTGAGGCTTCTCGAGTGCAACTCCATCAAGGTGCCTACCTATGATGTTGCTGGCCTGACACCGGTTCACAAGGCAGTCGGTTTTGGACAGCCTGACTGCTTGAGAAGTCTGTTGGATCATGGGGTAGACCCCAATGTCCCGACAGGAGCTCTCACATGCTCATTTGTTGCCACAGTGGGCCAACCGCCACAACTGCATGGGGTTTTCGCGAATTATGCTTGGCGAATGACAGTTAACATGTAGAATATCCTGCCCATAGGAGTCTGGGAGAGATTGCCAAGCCGATTCCCAGGAGAGGTGACTTTGCCAGCCGACTCTGGTGCTGCACCATCTCGTCACGAGACTGCTTTGCATATTGCCACCCGATTGCTCACGAGGGCCATCAACAGCCCTGACGGCGCTGGGTCGTCAGAGCGGCAGCAGCTGCAGCAGCGAGAGCTCATGCGGATGCTGGTGAGTTATCGGGCTAATGCCCTGGCAAAGGATGTGAATGGTGACCCGGACAAGCTTAGTGTTGAAGAGTTTCATGTGTTTTATCGACATGACTTGACTTAGTTTAATTACTTTCAAATGGTTATTTTTTGCAATCTTTCCAACTTAGATCTTTCCTCTTCATGGGAGATCGAAGAATGGAGACTGACCGAGGCGACACACCTCTACACTTCAGTGCTCGCACCGGCGACTTGTGGGGTTTCTGCCTGCTTTTGGATAGCGTGGACGATCCACAGGAGGCGCTTTCTGCATGCAATGCCTCCGGCCAAAGCGTGTGGCAGAGCATCGCTGAAGCCGCTGAAGGTTCAACTTGGCTTCGCCTGGCAGCGAGAACGGCTCCCAGTGTCGTTCGCCTGAAGCGCCTGCTGAGTGCAAGTGCCCCTGGTGGCTGAGAAAAGATGTCTCTCTCTCTCTCTCTCTCTAATGGCTTGAAGCCTCAGTCGGGAACCCCCTTTAGACTATGAACCCGGCTTTAGGTTTGGCTATGTCGTTCTGACATGTTCTGACTTCATCTGACTACTTGCCCTTAGGTCTTGGAAATCGTTGAAATCGCATGACCATGCATGCCCTACTTGAGGCTTACAATTGGAATTAGTCGGTTTTCAGCACCAAGGATGGCGAGCATTTGCATCCTTTCGAAGGCGACGAAGGTCTACTGAACGGTTCTTGGCCACCTGGCGGCCGTTTGCAGTTGTATGGTTGGCAAGTAAGAGCTTTTGAAAGGAGGCCATTGCTTCTATAGGCAAGAACGCTACTAGGAGCAAAGGGCATCGCTACGAACGGAGCAACCGTACGGACGTAACAAGAACGCTACGGACGTAACAAGAACGCGGCTTTCACCGGGGGATCGCCCTAAGGCTCGACCCTTTGGACCCAGACGTCTTTGAGAAATGGCCGGTGGGAGTCGGATGCCGCACGGTCAATGTCTGGCCTCGGCATGAATGCAAAGAGAAAAACATTCATTGAGTGTTCAAGTGGCATGTGGCTCTGAAGCGCTGCACATCCTTCAATATCTTCAATGAAAAGACCTGGTTCGAACATGTTTGAACTATTTGGCTATGGGGTTAGTAGATGACGGAGAGTTCGGAGTCAGCAGCTGGTAGCGATCAAGATGCAGGATGCAAAGAAGGCTACACCTTACCTTGCAGTGGTGGAAGCAGGGGAGACCATTGTGGCACCCAAGGCTGGCTAGAGCAGCATGAGATAGCTGGAGTGTGCTGTGAATGTTGTGGTAAAAGCTTCCCACAGAAGTGGCAAGGCCCCAAGGCCGGCACAACGCACGTACTGTATTTTGGTGAGTGTGCTAGGCAGTCGGACTCCAGTCCATGTGATGTTTCTAGAAAGGACAAGAAAGTAGGATGGAGCCGTCCTGACTTGACAAATGTTGGTCCAGGTGCGATATCTTGAGCTAAGCGGCTAAGCACGCTTGAAACCGACCAACGCACATTTCCCATGCGCCAGGGCTGGTGGCATTATGCTGTTTCACTTGACAGCTCGGTGAGGAGCCCTAGATGCCCGCACCGGTAGAGGTTTTATCATCGGACCGTAACTGCCACGGAGGTCACCATCATGCGGAACTTCTACAGCACAAGCAATCAATGGGATTTGCCACTTGGCTAGACGACAGGCAATCCATGGTAGGCTTAAAGATCATTTTGGCACTTCTTCAAAACATGTTCCAAGTGCAGTTTTTACTACCAGGGGCTCCTGGCATCGCTACTAGGAGCAAGGATGCTACTAGGGGCTCCTGGCCTCGCTACTAGGAACAAGGACGCTACTAGGAGCAAAGGGCATCGCTACTAGGAGAAAAAGGACCTCCCACAGAGTCTTCACATCAGCCGAATCCAGGATCCGGCGGAAGGATGGGGGCTTGGCTGGGGCAATTGCCACCCATGCCCTTGCCTCGATTCAGAGTGCCTCAGAGTTTGTTGCCTCTCTGGATTGGACTTGGGGAACGTGAGGAAAAACTTGGGAAACGAAACAAACATGCTTGACAACTGGATTTCTGACATTGCCGACTGTCTTTGCTAGTGAAAAATGGCGAGCCTGGTGAGCTTGGCGAAAGAGATAGTGAACTCGTTCTTCAACCACTCTGTCATCCTGCCAAGGTCTTGCGGAAGCAGCCCAAGCTCAAGAACCAACCAGACTCGGTGGGGTACACGTGGGGTATGGGCAAGAGTGTTGAGCGAACAATATTTTGTCCATTCCGCACCGCACTGCAGGTCATCCAAGAAATCGCACAGAAAACGGTGCTGAAGTTGCGTGTGGCGCCAAAGCACCAGATGGTATCCCAGCCTTTTGAAGAAACACATTGATTACCGGTGTGAATAATTGGTGTTTGTTCTTCACATGTGCATGCCGAGCAAACATGAGAACTGCGAACATTGTGCCTGGCACATTGTGTCACGGCGCTCGTCCTGAATGCAAGGTGGGAATAGATCGAGTCAACCAGTCATTCGCAATTAGGTTGGAGGCCATTGCCATTAGGAACAAGAAGCTACTGGTAACAAGGGCATCGCTACTAGGAGCAAGGATGCTACTAGGGGCTCTTGGCCTTACTACTAGGAACAAAAGACTTCTAGTAACAAGAAGCTACTAGGGCTCCTGGCATGTAGCGAAGCAAGGATGCCACTAGGTTGGAGGCCAGTCTTGACCGGACGAATAGGGACTGAAAGACTGGACCCCAAAGACGCCCCCCTCGGCGACGGCCTTCACGGGATGTCCCAGAGTCCGTTCTGAGGTGAGACCTTTGTGGAGAACCGCCAGAAAGTGCAAGCTTAAAGCCTTCTGCAAGCACGTGGTTGGCCGATGTAGACCATTTTGTCTTCCAACATGCGTGAGTCATCTCCCATCCAATGCAGCCTCTAACTGTTTCTTTTGGTGGTTGAATGCTATTGGCCGCGCCAAGCGGAACAGGTTTCAGTTTCAGGTGGCCGTGAGCTGTAAGAAAAGAAATGGGCGGCCCAGCAAATAGCCAGGTGGAACCAGATGCTTACATCCTGCAACATGAATTGGCTTATCTCATGTCGTGACAGAGCACAACGTGAAACTGCTTGCAATTGGCAGGTTGGCTTGTAAAATCAGTTTGGACCGGGCCGTGTGGCAAATTCAGCATCAAGGGCCGTGGGGAGGAGACAACCTCCAAAAGCCCCCACGCCCAGCTTCTTCGCATGGCCATTGATGGCAGGGCTCTCGGAATGTATGCCATTGCCCGAATCTTTTCCAGTCACTACCTGGTGACTATGCCAAGCTATTGGGAACGATATACTAGGATGCTTTAGGAACATACGCTTCACAGCGCCTTGTTCGGTCCTGCACCTCACGAGGAGGATGAGGTCTCTTGGGATCTGTTTGGGGTTGTGCTTGGAGAGGGGCGCATCCACGTCCGTCACAGTCGGGGCTGAGGCCCTGTGGTTCCATACCTTTCTAGCGTGGCTGGCTGCTGGACAAGCTGCCTTGATTGATGATGTCAATGTGGTGCGTCTTGGACAGCATAAACAGTATGCAGAAAACTGTGGGGTGGATGGTTAGGGACAGGGAATGCAGCCTTGACCTGGGACATGGTCTTATCGCAGTGTGGGTCAGTGGGTGTTTGGGATACAAAGGCAAGTGAATCAGTCAGAGGTGTGCATGTTCAGTCAGGTGCTCGGTGCCTGAATCATACTCCAGAGAGAGTTTGAAGAAGCTCATTCAATTGAATTGCGACAAGGCAAGGCAAATCCAATCGTTGTCGTTGTGTGGTTTGGCCCGTTTGCTTTCAGATCATGTCATACCTGCTGCCCACGGTGCATGGCCAGGTCAGCAAGTCGGTGGAAGACTTCACCTCGTTAGGGTCGGGGGAAACTGATCTCGACCGAGGCGCGAGGAGACGAAACTCGTCTCATCTCCAAATGATACGTGCATACGATCATGCTTCCTATGACTATCACATAAAGAGAGGAGAGAGAGAGCCTAGCGATGGCCTCCACCCTAGTAGCGATGGCAACCTCCAACCTAATGCAGAGAGGGAGAGAGACAATTACATAAAAGAGTACGCATGACCCAAACATTCACAATCTGTCCACGCGGACGCGGTAGAGGGGATCTCATGGGCTTTACGAGCCTTTGCGAGGGATTCTGGTGTCGTTCATTTGGTGCTAATAACTGATGAATGGAGCCCTTTCAGACCTCTCCATTTGGGGACGAAGTCGGAGACAACGTGGCGAAAATCAGAGACATTTCCATGTAGTACAATAGAGCGACTTGAGTCACGTGATGCTACTTGATGCGCAGCATCCTGAGTCCTGCAGGCCTTGTGATGCTATTGGGTGAGGATTACAGCTTAGACAATTTGCAGCTGGGCACGCTTTGGAGGGAAGCCTTATCTATCAAAATCCCTTATTATATGGGACATTATGGGACTGTACTCTACCCCTGGCCCCGGACTACTTACCAGAATGCTTTTGCCTAAGGATCTTACTTTGGTCTGGAATGCCCAAAGCAACTCCATTTTTCTAGATCGTGCATTCATTTAGATTCGCGTAGGGCCTGAGGCGCCAAGAAGTTTGATTTGGACCCAGTTTAGACCACCAGTGGCACTGTTTTGTGTGAGAGACTTGTCGTATGCAACGGCAGACCAGTTGAAGCAGGCTTGCCACCACGTCCGGCTGGGAATGTAGGGTCCCGAAGTGTAGACCGAGTGCCTCAGTGACCCTCACATTGAAGAAACTATAAGGAACTGGCCTCAGTTGATTCATGAAGGAACTTCCTCCTCAGACAGGGGTCCCGATGTGCATCCGAGGCAGTGGCAGGAAAACGGCGATTTAGCCACTGCCTTGTGCAGACAGGCTGCCAGGACCTGCGGCATTCGTGTGGCGGTGGCATGTGTTGACATTGCGAGCGGATCACATGCGATGTTGTGACACTATTGTGCCACTGCTTCTACATGTGTCAGTCACGCCAATCGAGGTATTGCTTCCCCAAGGTGGCAAATGTTGTGCCACCAAAATGACTTGAGAAACAGGCGCTATGTTGAGGGCGAAGCAGACTGGAGAAACGCTTCGTTTGTGCAGGAATCTGGAGCGCACAGAGAGGGAGTTGTGGACGCTTCCAGCCAATGAAAGCCTTGCACAGACAAGAGATGCGGCCACATTGGCGGTGAATGCGTCACTTGTCAAAGTCTGGGGGCTGGGGATGTGCAGCAGTGAGGAGGTTTGTCAGAGTGAATCCCTGAGCTGAGGTGAACATGTCGCGGAGTTTCATCGACAAGCATAGATTTTTCACACAGTTTTGCGCATATGGGTTGCATGCACCGTTGACCACCTACTGTCAACCCAAGTGTGGTGCCACAGACGATAGGTAGGTCCACTAGAATGTTTTGAAGGAAAACCTCTGATCACTTTATTTGAAACTCTGAGGAACGAAGAGTCTCAGAATTTGGACTTTTTGTTGTTTTTTCTACTAGCGAACATTGTACGTTTGATGTCACACAGCAATGCAGTCATAAACAGCGTACAGATCACAAGCTGTTTGAGATCAGAACTTGTCAGGAAGTGTTCCCTCCAATGAGTGGAACTGCCAAAGTCTCAATGACATTTGGCTCAAGGCTTGAAGTGAAAAGGCGTTGGCCTTGGCTGAAACTCATAAAACTGGGTTATCAGCCGCAGCTCTGCCATAGCTGCGCGCTGTGATCTGCGCTTGCTCGGGTGTATTCCGATCGTTCGCCTCTGGCATTGCTTTGCATCCTTTCCAGCTCTCCAGCTCTTCGTCTTCGAGTCCCTTGACCTTTGCGTTTGCGCTGGCATCTGGGTTCTCAGGCGTTGAGGCTGGAGGGGACGTGAATGAGTGACGAGCCTCCCAAAAGGCCTCGTGGTGAAAGAGGTGGTAAGAAGGTAGTACAACAAAAGATACTCAAGGAAAGGTTTGAGCGTGGTGAGTTTGTTCCAAAGGCCTTCAGAGGGAAGACGAATTTTGGGTTCCCTTCACCGTCTGATTCCGGTAGTGCTACTAGCGCTAATCCGTTGCCACCACCACCCCTTTTGGGGAGTTGTAGTGCTACTAGTCCGTTGCCGGCACCGCCGCCTCCGCCGGTTGGGTTGGACTTACTTGAGGTTCCAAGCTTTGCTGGTCCTTCGGTTCCAATTGCAACAACTCCTTCGGTTGTCACCCCTCCAACGGTAGAAGTTCCGGTGCCAAAGCAAGCAGAAGCCAAGGCGTTCAGTGACTTGTCTTTCAGTGTTGCCCCTGCTTTCCCAAAGAACGATTCAAAGGGTTCAAGTTCTTCTCCTTCAACTTCAAAAGGTCCCCAGTCAAAAGCAAAGCTTTCAGATCCAATCCCACCTGGCTTGAATCCCCCTGTTGCGGCTACTGGTGTTGCCCCTCCTTCGACAGAGCTTCGAGTCAGTTTGGACTTTCACGGAGTCTTGGATCTTGAGTATCCCGGTGCTAAGACCTACAACGGGATTCGCACTAGCTGTTTCGAACAAATCTGTGATTTTCTCAGAGTGTCAAACCACCACCGCATTGGGATTTGTTCTTATATTGGGTTTTCGGGTCAGGATAGTTTGCGCAGAAGGGATTCTTTGCAAAAGGAGGTTGTAAGAGCGAACCGGATTCTGTTTGAAAAAGGAGTTCCTTCATACCAGAAGATTGTTCTTGTAATCACTGACGATCGGAAGAAAGCTGAGATTTGTAGGGAATCTGTGTCATTTCATCTTGACGATAAGTTAAGCGTTGTTGACGCAGTTTCTAGTCGGGGCGTGACGGGTTGTTTGTATTCAGCTTCCTCGGAGGGTGGAAGACGGTACCGTTCTTTTTCGGACCTGGCTGCTTTCTTGGAGTTCACGCAGACTGAGAGCCCACGAGTCTATCCCCGAGATTTTTACCACTGAATCTTGGCAGCCGTTTTAGAAACCATGAGTGGCTCAGGGATTTCGTCTTCTTTGAATTTGTCGGCCTCTTCGGGCTTGCAAGACGCACCCATGGGAGCGCCTGGAATGACTGAGTCCCCAAATGATTCAAGGTCATCTTCTGTCAGATCAACTCATGCTCCTAAAACAAATGTGAAAGTGAAGCGGTCATCCTCAGCGCTTGCACGTTTAGGGCAAAGGTCATCGCCAGCGTCAGCGCGGGTTGACCCTAAGAGGATTGTTGATAGGAGTAGGCCATCACCATCTCATGAAGAAGTTGACAGCGAAATGGAGGTACGCGAATTGCAGCAAACAGGGACTCGATACCAACAACTGACCCAAATCTATGTAGCTCCTTCCCAAGACCCCGAAATCATGAACCAAGCAGCCAGTGCGGTTTTTGAAGCACAGCAGAGAGAACAGTCAGCTCGTACTGAGGCTGAGCGAATTGTCATGGCAACTCATGCTAAGGCACTTCAGGAAGTGGCCAACGCCACGACTCAGTCTCAAGAAGCTGAACTAAGGGCTGCTAAGGAAGTGCAGGACATTCGTGCATATGCTGCACATGAGATTGCAGCTTCTCAAGTTGGAGCTTCCCAAGCCGTTGCTTCCACACAACTGCAGGCTGCTGAAGCTTTGGTATCACAAGAAAGACACCTGAGGGTTGAATTTGAAAAACGGGCGAAAGAGCTGTTGGAACAAGTGAGACAGTTGAACGAAGTAATTGCTAGGTCTCAGCCAAAGGATTTGAGCCATAATGACACGGCCCTACATGCGAAAATCGACCAGCTTGTTGAAAGAATGGTTTCGTTTGAAAGTGACTTGGTTGAAATGAATCAACGACTCGTTGCTTTGGAATCATGGGGGTTAGAGGTACCAGATGCCCCTGCCGAACATGATTCGGATGAAGAACTAATTCCACCAATGAATGTGAGGGTTGGTAGGTCCCCCAAGGGATTGGCTTCGTCTAGGATTGTTGATTCCGATGATCAGGATGAACCGAGGACACTGGAGGATTTGTGCCTTCGATGGAAAGACGTGTCTGCTGTGAGAATGCCTTCCCTTCCGGAGTCAGCAGGGTCTCTAAGGGCTTGGAAGAATGCTTTCATTCCAACTCTTATGGCGCTTGACAAGTCTAGTCAAAACCACCTGTTTACGTGGCTAATGACGGCCTTCAACGCAAGCTCTTCAACTGAAACCGAACAACTTCGCAACGATTCTGATGGTTTTCCGCGATTTGATCGTGTGTTGTGTTCTTGGTTTACGAAGGATTCTTGCCTTAAGGGTTACTTTGGTCCTCGGATTCAAGCTTTCATTGAAGAGTGCATGACCAACAATACTCCTCTCAGGGGTCGTCCATTGTTGAACATGGTGGTTCGAGAATTCGATCTCGATGCAGCTTTGGGTGGCGTGGTGTCATCAGTTGAGTTGTTCCAGTTGAACGCGCCTGAGTCAGATGTGGCTTCTTTGATCCATTTCAGGGATAAGGTTCAATACATTTTGGGGCAACTACCAAATGCTGACCGACCAGCGAATTCACTCATGTCCAAATGGCTGTTCGAGAAACTCAAACGTGTCAAACCGTTGCAGTTGACCATTGATAGGATTAGGGAATCGCCAGGGAATTCTCAAGAACGTCAGTTTGACTATCTTTGGAACCGACTGTTGCGTGTGATTGCCGAAAACCAGTATGACAAGAATCTTGATTCAGTCCGCGAGGGTCTGCGTAAAGGACCTAAGAAACTTGCAACTCCTGGACCTGTGACTGAAAAGGGCAAAGGGGAAAAAAGGTCAAAAGGTGGTAAAGGCCAAGGGAAGTCCAAAGGTCAGGCTACCAAAGGGAAACCTTCCTCAAACGCTGAGAAAGTGCAATCCACCACCAAGGGCCAAGCGAGCAGTAGTTCTGGTCAGCAAGAGTCTAAGGATTCAAAGAATCAAAAGGAAAAGGGTGCATGCATCTTCTACCCCAAAGGGCTTTGTCGACGCGGGGCTGATTGTCCCTACAAACATGAAGGTCCCGGTCCAAGTTCTAGCAACTCCAAAGGAACCACGGCCAAAGCCGTGCCCAAGCCCAAGGCTGGTTTAGTTGCTATGGTTGTTCTTGGGGCAGCTGCCAACGCAGCTCACGTGCCTGTTCAGCAGTCCTACTGCTATCAGGTTGAATGGGCCTTGGATTCAGGTGCTGGTGAAGACCTCGCCTCGATCAAATCATTGATGCGGCAGGGCATTCCGGAGACAATTCTCAAGGAGTGCGAAACTCTCTCATCTTCTCCTCTCACGTTCGATACTGGGGGTGGTTTGAAGGACGCTTCTTGCACCTTGGGTGTCGAGGGAGACGTGGCTGGTAGTGGGTTCATGTATTTGTTGAAGTCTTGTCCGTATGTTCGTTCATTAGGTAAACTTGTTGAACGTGGTTTTTCTTTCATTTGGGGACCCGACTACACACCAACCTTGATTCCGCCGCATGTTGACTTTCACGCTTCTTTTGAACCAGAGCATTGCGTGGAGGCTACAAGGGTCGAACACGGGGTACCTATTTTCAAAGAAAACATTTCTTTTGTTCCCGGGATGCCTGCGCAAAGCGCGGACCCAAGTCATGCTTTTCCAGTGGGTAGAGACGATGAACCAATCATTGAAGAATCACCTGCGTTGTCACCTGAATTTCCAGAGTCTGAAATAGATTTGTTTCCTTGCTCTCCTGAAAGTGCACCAAGCGGGGGGTTACTTGAAGCAATTCCGGCCCCAAGTCATGAATCCAAGATTCCACTTGAAGCACCCAATCCAAAGATTCCAATTGACCATTTGCTCACTCATCAGCCTGCGCATCCTGCGTGTGACGTATGTAAGCAAGCCAAGCTACGCTTCCATGCCCACAAACGATTCAAAAATCAACTTGATTGCAAGAAAGTAGCGCAGGTGATTGAGGCACCCCGATCCTTTCTTCAAAGAGTTGCTTGTGACCACTTAGAAGCTACCGAAGAGGGTTCCCATGGAGAACAGTACGCTCTTGTTTGCGTTGATGAGTTTTCTGGTGTTATTCATAGTTACCCTTCTTCTAGCAAATCTCAACAGTCAGTCGAAACTGCCTTGAAGCACTTCTGTAGAGAGTTCAATCCAATAGTGGCTTCTGATCGATATCCTAGCATCTTGTCAGCCGTCAGGTCGTTGGGTTTGTCTTCTGATCCTAGCCCGCCGAACGTTCCTATTCACAACTCTCATGCTGAATCAGCTATCAAAGCCGTTCGCCAAGGGACTCGTTCCTTGTTGTTGCAAAGTGGTTTAGGTGTGAAGTTTTGGCCTCGAGCGATGTCTTGCTTTAGTTACCATTACAATTTCACCACACTTCCTGAACTTTCCCAAGGTTCTCTTAGAGCCCTGGTTCAGGTGCATGATGCTGTGTTGCCTGATGGTGTTGAGGGTCCTGTTCCACCCCCTCCTGTGTATGACAGCAAGCTTCATATGGCTTTAGGATACCAACCTGACACTCGCATGTTGCCTTTTGGTGCCCTGGTTTGGTGTTTAAACAAAACCAAAGACCCCAAGGCACCCAAGTCTTTCGAACCTACTGGCATCCCTGCATTGTATGTTGGCCCTGAAGTTCTTCCTGCCATGCGTTGCAAAGATGTTCACCACTTGTTTGACCTGGCTGATTTGACCAGCTACAATAGTGTCCGTTTGATTGTCACCAAGGACTTTGCTATCCCTACTGGTCGTTGGGTTTTTCCTTTGACTAGTGTCCCCATGCTGAAATCCATCTTGCCCGAAAACCCCCAACAACCGGCTCCAGCCCTCGACGATGAACCAGACTCAATCGAGGAACCCCGTAACCGCTCCATCACTCGACGGCGTCTTGCTCAATATGGTCCCACCGATCTTTGTGATGGTTGCCTGCTGGGTACTTATTCTCATTCTCCTGAGTGCCGTTCCCGCTTTAACAAGTTGTTGGATAGTGCTGAGCCTTTGGTTGTGGTTTCCGGGGGGGGTCTATTGATGGACGTGGCCATGGTGACTTGGATTTGGATGAGTCCATGCGGATGTTCGATGTCAGGGTTGAAGATGGTTATGATTCGGATTATGATTCTCTTGATGGTTGGAAACCGCAATTTCCTCTTGAGCCACGTGGAACTGAAGGGTCTGAATATACCCCCTCTAGCCCAAGGGTCAGTGAACCTGATGCTAGTCTGTTTGATGAACAATTGGGGGAGTTTCTGCCGGTTCCGGGGGGTGTCATCAAGAAAGTAGGAAAGGTCAAGGGAACTTTCATCGAATTTTGCTGTGAAGAGAACTCATCAATTTCGAGGGTGGCTGATATCCTTGGTATTGCGTATCTTGGCATCACAAAAGAATCTCTCAACATCCAAGACGACGATGCTTTTCAACAACTTCTTTCCTGGTTGCAAGAAGAAATACAGGATGGAAACGGTCCTTTCATTTGTGGAGTTCCCTCCCATGCACGGTATGGTCCCCATGGCAAAGAATGGCCATTGCTAAGTATGGTAGCTCCTACAAACGTAAACTTCAGAAAAGAAGAGCTGAGTCTTTGGAGATGGTTAAGAGGTTTCGTGATGTTGCCGAAATGGTAAAACTTTCTAGGGGAGGTTCCGTTACTTTTGAGTGGTCTCGAGATTCAGAGGGATGGGATCAACCACTTGTCAAAGACACTATGGTGGCGCTCGACCTGCAACCTGTCCGCATAGACGGCTGTGCATTTGGGTTGGCCATCAATGGCAAACATCCCCAGAGGCCTTGGTTGGTGCAAACCGACAACAAACGTTTGGTCAAAGAGTTTCAACACAAGAAGTGTAAACATGAGAAGGGTTTTCATGATTCACTTGAAGGATCCCTAACGACCAAGTCTGGAATCTACAATGTGACCATGGCTACCAGTATTTTGACCACGTTGTTCCCGGGCGTTGTTGCAGACCTTGTTCCTGCAATGCCAGTTCTTCCTTTTAAATTGGATCCCCATAGGGCACGACTTCATGACTTTCACACTCAAGAACTTTGTGTTTTGGGAACTATTCACAAGTTGTTGACCCGTGCAGAAATGAGATCCGATCCCAAAGCTCTGCAAGCAATTTGGGAGGAAGGTCAGGGAGTTCGCGCCAAAGATGTTTGGGACGATAACTCTGTCATGGAAAAGAGTGAAAGGATTTCTCAGGCACAGAAGGACAACAAGGTCATCCACATTGCCGACGTAATGCCGATCGCAAGCATCAAGTTCTGGGAAACCCCCTCAAAGAGAAAGTACAAAGGGAGGTTGGTCTTTAGGGGAGACCAGGTAAAAGATTCTTGGGGTGGAGCAGCGCAGTTTGGAGCGATGTTCAGTACTCCAACTAACACTCAGGCTATAAACTTGGCAGTGTTTTATGGACTATTGTTGGGTAACGAGTTGAAAGCCGCGGATTGTACTCGTGCCTTTCTGCAAGCTATGCTATTGATGAAAGAGGAAACCTTCGTGGTATTGCCTCAAGAACTATGGCTTCCAGGATGGGCTGGAAAGTACAAACAGCCAACGGTGCGCCTGAGAAAGGCACTTTACGGACATCCACTTGCATCAGCGTGCTGGGACCTTCACCTCCGCCAGGTTCTCCAAGGTGATTTGGGACTGTTGCCAATGGAGGGGCATCCCAGTGTGTATTATTGCCCTAAAACGTTTCTTTTAGTGGTGATATACGTCGATGATGTCTTGGTGTCAGGTCCAAAGGCGCATCAATCGGCTTTCTGGAAAGAATTGCAACGTTTAGTGGAAACCGACGAGGTAGAGGACCTCAATCAGTTTATTGGGAGAAACCACGAACTTTCGGAAGGGCAGTGTGTTTTCAACATGGTTGATTATTGCCAACAAGCCATTGACTTGTACCTTGAAGCCGCCGGAAATGTTTCCTTAAGACGTGTCTCCACCCCATATGTCAATGAGGGTGTGCTCACAATGGAAGACTATCAGGTTCAAGGTCAGATTTCCCACAAAGCGTCTAGCGTTTTGATGAAACTCTTATGGGTTTGCCGACTGGCACGGCCAGATTTGGCATATCCCATAGGCATGTTGGCAACTCAGGTGACCCGTTGGAGTCGCAATGCTGACAAACAACTTTTCCGATTGGTTAGCTACCTTCACACCACACGTGATCTTTGTTTGGTTTCCCGTGTTGTTGATGCACCTTCCTCATGCTCGCTCTGTTTGTACGTAGATGCTGACCTGGGGGGATGTCCTTTTACAGCCAAATCTACTTCTGGGCTTTTCTTGGTCATCACTGGGCCAAACGGGACTTTTGCCCCAATAGCATGGTCCTCTAGGAGACAACAACATGTGGCTAGGAGCACGGCCGACTCGGAGTTGAATGCTCTTTCAGAGGGTGTGCATGAGGAACTTGCTCCAGCCCTCATGTTACTCCAAACTCTTTTGGGCAAAGAAACCCCCAAAGCCATTGTCAAGGAAGACAATTCTGCTGTAGTTCACTCTATCCGCAAAGGATATTCCATTAAGCTTCGCCATCTAGCACGAACACCCAAGTTGTCACTTGCATCCCTGAACGAAGCCTGCACCACCTGGTGCCAACTTGAGCAGACACCCACCCGAGATCAATTAGGAGATATATTCACTAAGGCATTAACCTCAGGCAAATTTGATCCTCAGTCCATTGGTCTCACTCACTGGGCCTCGTCCACACCTTAGAGTTTGGTCAGAACCCTAGTTGCCAGCCTGCGGTTGCCTTAGTTGGAGGTGCCTTGGCCTGAAGACCAAACAGGTTTGGGGTGAGATTCCTGCGCTTGCGCGGACTCATCCGAGGAATCTTGTGCTTGGCGCTGGCTTTGGCTCTTCACTGCATGATTGCCTTTTTCTCGCTGCTGCCTCCAACGATGGCTGCTGATGAGTGGGCATTTGTTTGAACAATTAGGATCTTTTGCATTTTGTTTTGCTGTGCCTTACGGTTGAAATAGGTCCACGCCTAAGATGCGAGCGCAGCCTTGGCCGGGGAGGCTGCATTCGCAGCTGACTTGGACTTGTTTGCTTCTGACCTTCATTTCAACCGCGGGGGGACGTTTGATGTCACACAGCAATGCAGTCATAAACAGCGTACAGATCACAAGCTGTTTGAGATCAGAACTTGTCAGGAAGTGTTCCCTCCAATGAGTGGAACTGCCAAAGTCTCAATGACATTTGGCTCAAGGCTTGAAGTGAAAAGGCGTTGGCCTTGGCTGAAACTCATAAAACTGATTGTTACTACTAGTAAGGCACTTGTTACTAGTAGCGATGCACTTGTTTCTACTAGCGAACCTTGTTACTACTTGTCATCTGAGGTGGGGTTCTGTAATGTTGCAGGGCCGGAAGTGCTGCACGTTGCCAAGAGCTCCATACTGCATCGACACCAGTTGGTCGGCCTCGACTGCAGCTTGGCCACCACTAGGCGCTTGGCGCTGTTCAAGATTTGCAAACCACACACAGCGACATGGGCGGCAAGAGATGCACACGAGGTAGCGATGCCCTTTGCTCCTAGTAGCTACTTGCCCCTAGTAGTACGGCCAGGAGCCCCTAGTAGCGTCCGATCGCTCTTAGTAGCGATGCCCTTTGCTCCTAGTAGCGTGATTTTTCTCATAAGTCCAACTTTTATCGACAGTCTTCCGCATTCCATGGTCTGCAACACTACGTGGAGGATTGTGTGGGATTGCTTGCCAAGAGGCGGCAAGGGTTTGGGGTTCTGACAGAGTCATTCGCCAAGGTCGCCTTGCTCGTTCCCATGGCATGCTTGGCGATCTTGCTTCTGTGCGCATCCACATGCCTGAACTTCAATTTCACAATTTGTTTCGTAGCAGTCCAAGCTTGGAGTGTGATTTTCGGTCCCACCCCTGCCTGAACCCAAATGCAGACCTGCACAAGTTTGATCCAACGAAACTGAGGTTCACCATCTCGGTGGTCTCATCATGGATCCTCCCGCAGCCCAGTAAAGACACCGAACAAATGACTGAACGCGACTCGATGGCTGAATTGATCCGAGTTTCACTCGCCTTGCTTGAATTGAAACGAGTTTCACCCAAAGAGTAAGCGGTCCGGTCCTGGTGATTGAAAGTCAAAGCCGAAGAGTAGCTATCCAATAGCTATTCAGGCTGGTCTACGAGTGTAGCTCTTAAATTTGGAGTTTTCTTCACCAGCCAGAAGCATCACCACAGTGATCAAAGCATCTGAGGTGAGGAAGTCTTTCAAAGCCGACCTGGATCTCGCACTCCTCGAGTTTCCTGCCGAAGCGCCTTGAAGAAGGACTCGTGACATGTGCAGTCAATTGGCTCACAAACATTGTGCAAAACCTACCTTTCAAGATCAAGGCTCCACAAAGACCCTCTGGTGACCACCCCCCTATACCCCATGTACCCCCATGTAGAAACAGCCGCTTGATCACTTGCTTTGATGTTGGAAATCTCTGGAACACACTGGTCTGGACCTATGACTAGCGCTGTGAGATGAACGTGCATTAGGACGCTACTAGGGGCTCCTGGCATCGCTACTAGGAGCAAGGACGCTACTAGGGGCTCCTGGCATCGCTAC